TAATAATAATAATAATAATAATAATAATAATAGAATTGCAGCACAGAAAAAAAGAAACCAAATGGATATCATAAATATTTATAGGCTAGTGCACCCCCCAAAAAGCACAATATACTTTCTTCTCCATTTTGTATGGAATGTTCTCCAGAATAGATCACATTTTAAGACACAAGGCAAGCATCAATAAATTAAAAACCACAGAAATAATACAAAGCATCTTTTCCGACCACAATGCTACAAAATTAGAAATTAATAATGAGGATAAATATGAAAAAAATATACATTTGGAAGCTGAACAACACCTTGCTGAACTTGAGTGCATACTAGAAGAAATAAAAAATAAAATAAAAAAGTTTCTTGAAATAAATGACAATGAAAACACCATTTTACCAAAACTTCTGGGAAGCAGCCAAAGCAGTAATCATAGGTCAATTTATAGCAATAAGCAAACACATTAAAAGACAAGAAAAGATGACCACTGACTCTTTAATCCAAAAAATTAAAAAAAGAACAGCAAGAAAACCCTCCAAAAAAATGAAATTCTAAAAATTAGGGCAAAAAGAAATAGAAAACAGAAAAACAATTTAAACCATCAACAAAACAAGGAGTTGGTTTTTCAAAAAGGTCAATAAAATTGACAAACCACTAGCAAAACTAACAAAAGAAAAAAAGAAAAGACAGAAAAAATCCAAGTAAGAGATGAAATAGGCAAGGTAGACTTCTCCCAGACTCATTCTATGAAGCAAACATATCTTTTTACCAAAACCAGGTTAAGACACCACCAAAATAGAAAACTACAGGCCAGTATCTCTCATGAACATAGATGCAAACATCGTGAATAAAATCTGGGCTGATAGAATCCAACAATACATAAAAAAAACAACCCAAAAAAACACCATGACCAAGTGGAATTCTTAACAGGTATGCAAGGATGGTTCAACATAAGAAAAATAATCAACATAATTCATCAAATTTAAAAGCAAAGAACAAGAACGGCAAAATCCTATCAATTGATGGAGAAAAGACCTTTGAGAAAATCCAACACCCATTCCTGGTTAAAACACTCAACAAAACAGGATTATAGGGGAATTTCTTCAACATAGTAAAAAGTATATAGGCACACCCTAGAGCCAACATTGTTTTCAATCGAGAGAGATTAAAGGCATTCCCTTTAAGAACAGGAAGTAGGCAAACATGCCCATCTCTCTTATTCAATATTGTACTGGAAGTCTTACCAGTAGCAATAAGACAAAAGAAGAAAAAAAGGGATATCCAAATTGGCTAAGAGGAGGTAAAATTATCTCCATATGAAGATGATATGACAATATACTTAGAAAACCCTAAATACTCAGCAAGAATACTACTGGACATAGTTGACCAATTCAGGAAAGAGGCAGGGTACAAGATCATCACACAAAAATCAGCTGGATTTCTTTACAGTGACAAAGAGAATACAGAACTGGAGCTAAGAAAAACAATACTCTTCACAATAGCTAATATAACCAGAAGCACAAAGGACCTATTCAAAAAAACTTACAAAACATTACTACCAGAAACAGAAAGAGACCTGGAGAAATGGAAGAATATTCCTTGTTCATGGATAGGAAGACTCAATATTGTGAAAGTGACAATACTACCAAAGACAATTTACATGTTCAATGCAATCCCAATAAAAATACCAATCCCTTTCTTCAATGAGATGGAAAAGATACCCCCCAGTTTCATTTGGAATGCAAAGAGGCCCCAAAAAGCAAAGCACTCCTTAAAAAGAGAAACAAGGTAGGAGTCATCTCACCCCCTGATTTCAAATTGTACTACACTCGTGGTCAAAACAGCATGGTACTGGTACAATGACAGACACACAGATCAATGAAATAGGATTGAGAATCCAGAAATCAGCCCATCTACCTATGGTCAACTGACTTTTTGACAAGTAGATGGAATTAGTTAAATGGAGAAATGACAGCCTTTTAAACAAATGGTACTGGCAAAACTGGAAATCTGCAGAAAACTCAAGCAAGACAAAAACCAACTCAAGGTGGATCATGGACCTAGGACTAAACCAAGGACTATAAACTTCATTAGAGAAAAGTTTGGAAGAACTCTAGAAGTCCTAATCCACAACATAAGCAGTATTCCAAGGATCCTCAAAAATCTACAACCAGGAAAGGATAAAATAGATGAATGGGACCTTCTAAGAATCAAATCCCTATGCACATCCAAAAACTTCTCCAGCAGGGTAAAAAGGGAAGCCAGAGACCGGGGGGAAAAATATTTGGTAATGACGTGTCAGATAAGGGACTTATATCTAGAATTTATAAAATACTCGAGCACCACAACAAGATAAAGGTAAACAACCCAAGTAAAAAATGGGCACAAAATATGAACAGACACTTCACCAAAAAATACATTCAGATGGCAAACAAACACATGAAGAAATGTTCAAAATCCCTAGCTCTAAGAGAGATGCAAATAAAAACAACTATGAGATATCATCTCACTCCAATAAGAATAGCAAAATTTAACAAAACACAAACAACAAAGGCTGGTGAGGTTGTGGAGAAACTGGAACCCTTATTCACTGCTGGTGGGAGCGTAAAATGGTGCAACCACCAGCAATTCCACTACTGGGAATATATCCCAAAGAAACCATAATCGCCACCCAAGTATATATATATATATGCATGTCCATGCTTATCGTGGCTTTGTTCATGATAGCAAAGAGTTGGAAACAACCCAAGTGCCCACAAACAAATGAATGGATAGAGAAGCTGTGGTATGTACATAGAATGGAATATCATACTGCACTGAAAAACAAGGAACTCATGAAATATTATACAAAATGGGTGACTGTGGAGGACATTATGCTGAGTGAAATATCTCAAATACTGCATAATGCCACTGTTGTAAAACAGAACTAACATCGGGATTGGCGAGAGGCTGTGAAAGATGGGATAAATTATGTATACTGTATTGAAACTCATGAGGGAAACAACTATTTAAAAGAGATATATGATTAGGTATTATTGTCATGACAGGAGTCCAGAACGAAGGCTGCAGAGTGGAGTGGTCTTGTGGGGAGGAACTGCATAACAATCAAAGAATTTTTCTTTTACTTTTCAAAAAGAAGAGTGAAAGGGGCCAGGGGTGTGCGTGTGTGGGGTGGGGGCAGGGAGGTAAGTGCAGCAATGAATGAATGGAAATCGAAAGTCTCTGTTAAGTTTCATTAAAATTAATAATAATAAAAAGAAAATATAGGTGAGTGATTGGTCTTCCCACATTTCAAAGACTTATTACTTTACATAAAATATCATTATATATTAATTGTTGTTGCGTGCCATCAAGTTGTGTGACCCAGAAGCAGGTTTTCCAGAGGGGTTAAATTCCATGGGGAAAGACTGCCTATCATTCTCCCATGGAGCAACTGGTGGATTCCAACTGCATGCTTTTGGTATTGCAGCAGTTTGTTACCACCAGGCCACCTCAGCTGGTGGTCGAGAATATGAAATACCATCACATGTTAGATACTTCTTTACTCAGAGTAGCTGACTACATGAAGACAAGATCTGAATCAAGAATTTGTTTTTAAATCTAAACACACTTTGCTTTTAATTCTGAAGTAATCTCAGAAATATTCAATGTTTTGTTCACTTTTAAGTTTTGACTTAGCATTCTCAGCAGGCTTCAGGAACATAAATTCAAGTAAAAATTTTAAATGGAGAACCATACAGATTTGGCATATTTACATAATAATGCCAATTGTGATTGGATTTCAACACCTCGAATGAGCTTTTAGAATATCAAGAAACTACAAAATTGAGATGTTTTATTCTACTTTTATGAAGGCAAAAAGTATCTGATTTTCATACTCTGATATGTTTTCATATGAAAAAAAGATAAAAACAAAACATTTACTCTTGCCTGTTTTTTATCTATAGAGTCAAATCCAGCAATTTTGTTTCCTTTTGTATCAATCAAGGATCCCATAGGCTCACAAGTGATGACATCACATGTCTGTTTAGGCAAAGGTAGCAATTGTTGAACTTTGTCAATGCTCTCAGACCGCTTGTCTCCAAGCTCTTTCTAAAATAAAAAGGCAGAGAGAGAAGTAGAACAGCAATTACTCTGAAAGCAAACTTCACTAGGAAGGAAGTTCCCCTTTGAAACATTTCCTTTACTATATAATTAGTTCTATAACTGTGAATATTGTCTAGGAAACGTCTCCAAAGCAGATGGAAGAATGTGTTTCATTTCTTCTATTTAAATAGCAAATAGAACACACATAAAGGCACACTCGTTACACAAGAAACTTCACAGTGCTGAGATGACAAAAAAGCCAGCCAAGTCTTCACTTCCAGATGGCTAGAGCTGAAGCGTGGAGGGACACTTCTGCACCCAGGGTCAAACTACAAGGTAACTGTTGGCTATTTTATTGGTAAGGCAGTCAGATATATGGATTTTCTTTACTGCTGTTGGTTTGCATTTATTTCTAAGGTTTTGGTAGTATCTAAATAAACTCAATTTAGCAAAATCAATAAAAATGGCTTTCCATTACATGTACCAGTCCAGGCAAAGTTTTAATCTAATTACAGCATTTTGCACATTCATTTGATTGTGGATTTTTAATGTTCCGTAAAAAAAATAAACATTTTGTAAATATATGTATTTTTCAAAGATAAGCCTGAAGATTATGTGCTTATAATTATGAAGTACTGACAAACTTAAAAATCATACATGACCAATTTAATTCATAGTAAATTAAGTTTGATGCAACGGATAATTTAGTGAGTAATAAAATAAAAGCACTACCATAAATTCTTAACAATTTGAGTACCTAAGGTAAGTAAATTACAAACTTACTTTGAGTTTCTTTACTAAATTCATGTATGCACGTTTATTCTCCTCAGATCCTCCTGGGGATACATTTGATAGCTCAGAGGCTAATGTTCCATTGATTAAAACACCCAGCATATCCAGAACTGTTGTAAATAATTCACTAAAATGAAATAAATAGTTATTTTTATCTTAAAGCAAACTCAAAATATACCTCATTAAACATTCAAGCCACAGAAATTGTACAGGTAAGTAAGAAAACAAGATGTAGAGGAATTTTAGGCATGTCGTTAGGAGAGGCCAGTCTTTAGAGAAGGATATCATAATTGGAAAGCTGTCGGGTCAGTTTAATAGAGGAAGACCCTCAGCAAGATAGACTGACTCAGTGACTGTAATGATGGATGCAAGTGTGTCGAGGTGGTGAGGATGGCACCAGATAAGGCAGGTTTCAGATCCCTTGTTGCTGAGTCATAGTTGGCTCTGTGGCACCTAACAACAATAACCAATAACATATCAAAGGCTAAGGAGCCATGGTGGCATAACAATTAAGCATTCAGCTGCTACAATAAACACTGGCAGTTCCAATCCCCCTACAGACTTCATGAGAGGAATACCTGCTCATCTGCTCCTGTAAAGATTACAATGATGCCCTAGAAACCTATGGGGCAGTTCTACTCTATCGTATTTGCTTGCTTATGAGTTGAAATTGTCTCTCCATCATCTGCATTAAAAGTTTACACTATGCAAACATGCAGTTAAAGGAATATGAAATCATAAAAACCTACTTGTTAGTGTGCATGTCAACAGTTCCTGATGTAATTATTTGAAGGAGAAGGAGGGCCCAGTCTGTTGTCCACTGGGTGCTCCTTTGTACTGTGTCAAACATTCCTCCTACCTGGCATATAAAATACAATTTTTTAAAAAAAATCATATTTGGTTAAAGAGAAAAATACTAATCCCATAACTTTATGCAGTCAAATTTGGATTATTTTAAAACCAAAATAACTCCACTTTAAAGTATGCATTATTCTGTCTTCATGTCTCTCCCATGTGTCATTTCACTTTTTTTCAGTTCCTTTATATACAGGAACGTGGTCATTAAAAGAGCAAAACAAACCAAAATAAATGGAGGAGGGTCACTCTTTGCTACAGCAGGCTCCAACATGGTCTTTCTTTTGAGGCTCATGTGAACAACTCATAAACATGCTTTTGAAGAAGGCTCAGTTCATGATGCCAGGATGTGGGAACACCTTCAATGTAAATTATAAGCAAATGGTAGGGGCTTTTGCTGTTAATTTTTTAGGATATCCACTTTTAGAATATAAACCTAGTTGAATTAAATGAGTAGTCAATAAGACAGAATATAAATTATAATAATCCAAAAGTAAGGATGGGCAGGAAACTGGGTCAGTAGGCTGACCAACTCACATGTAGGGATTAGGCTGAAAACAACTAACAAAATATCAGGCAAGCCAACATCTAGGGTAGCTTTTATGTGGGCTTCTCCATTATGAAATTCAGAGGAACTCAGAGAAATGTGAAATGACAAATGTTATGTTTCTGTGAAGCCACACAGTGGAATTTGATTTTAAATGGTCAGATAAAAAGTATGACAAGATAATAACTCAAAGTACTATTTCTGTAAAATAATACATCAAGCTAAAACTAATATCTCAAAACAGTAGAGTTCTTTAGACATAATCTTAGTAAAAACTAAGTAAGTGAAATAATAACAAAAGGCTAGGGAAGAGGATAAATCAACACCTGAAATAGGTTGACTAGAAGTCAGACCAGAAAGGAAGGCAAATAGAAAGGAAAAGTATAAATACAAAGAGTAAATAGGGGAAAGTCTCACCTAATAGTATAGTCTTTGTTTATAGTAGAAGTGGGCAGCAGGAGTTATTAACATTATTTGTGTAAATGTAATGGAGGAAAAACATTAGCTACACTGCTTACCAAGTTTAGACGAAGCTGTAATGCTTCATGCATCATCTGTCGTGCTTTTATGTCATCTTGGTATCGTTCTTCTCTCCAGTTACTTAAAATCTAAAGTAAAAAAAAATATTGTCCCCTATTAAATTTGGATTCTACTTTTACTTAATGCTTAAATCAAGCCTTATCCTGGCAGCCCGAAGCAACTTCTTCCCTTTAACAACAAAACTAAGCTAAAATTGTAAACACTATTCAGCGTTCTCATTTCCTCTATACAGACCTACATCTATAGAATCTTATTTCCATTTTTAGGTGGGAGAAACAGCTTCTAATTTAAATGCTACCTAGTCTGGAAAATACTTTAGAGAGTGATCAAATTGAACCATTAATTAAAACAAAGTTTTATTTGTAAAGTAGATTTTTCCACTAATCTTATGAAGTTGGGGACAGACAGAATTACTTTTTATACTAACCCTATATTATATTTGTAAGGGCATGATTTGAACCTTAGAAGATGAACATTTTAGATTTTTTACTTAAGCTTGCTATTTTGTGACTTATTCTTCTTGATAAAGAGAGCATATACTATCTTGCAAAAGCACAGCACTTTGTACATTAGACAAGTGGCACATAAATTTGTGAAGTAGGATACTTCTCCATTGACTCAGACGAATTCTGGGTCACTCAGGAAAAGCAAACCACAAATGGGCACCACCCCAAAATCTGATGACATGAGCAAAAAAGAATCTTGTTATGCTCTAAAGTGGAAATAAAAGAGAGTAATCTTTAAAGGAGCGAAAATTAATCATGTGTGGGAGCAATGTAGCTCCACAGATGACCAGTTACTATAAAGCATGTGACAGAAGAGAACTTCCTAAATCTCTGCATGTAGTGCAAGGCTCTCTCAATTCTGAATCAAGAGAGAAAAGCAGTTACCAAACAGGTTGCCAAAAACCTTACATTCTAATACTGGAGAAAAGAGAAGACGTGTGAAAAGTGGACAAAAAACAGGGGAAAGAGACAGTAAATGAAAGTGGTTCGATTTTAGCGTAGATTAGGGCCCCTACCTAAAGAGGTGGGATCTGAGCTGAAACTGAGAAGTGAGAGACTAGGCCATTCTTCCAAGAAAAAAGATGCCAACATACTGAAATGAAAAGGTACTCGGCAGATTTAAGAATTAAGAGCATGACTAGAGGAGTGGAGTGGGCAAGACTGAAGATGGGTTGCAAATGAGTAGAGTGGCGCACAAATACCACATCATGGAGGGTTACAAGCCTGGCTGGGATTTTTCATTCTAGTTGTAATAGGAGTATTTTAGGCATGAGAGGGACATGATGTGATTTACAATTAAAAAGAGTTACTCTGTCAGGAGAGGTGCAAGAGACACAAGTAACAAAGGTAAACACTATCACTGAACGAACACACACACACACACACACACACACACACACACACCTCAAATAATGTGATAAAAAGAATCACTTTGAAGACCTGTGTGGCATGGCCAGCCCAGGAGCATCTTCCAGCCACTGCTACCTC